ATATATATAATATATATATATATGGCCTTAGAGAGGGGGGGAGGAGAGTGAGGGGTATATTGTCCTGGGGCCCAGCTGTTCAAGGGCCCAGACTTGTAAATTACAAAGTATTATATTTGCCTTTTTAAATATACTGCATTTGGATTGGTTGTTCTAATTACAGTTTTTAACATTGTATCACCGTAAATGTTAAATTTAAATGCAAAACATAATAAATATTTTATAAATTTTATAAGCTAAGTTATTCAGAAATAAAACAAAAGAAAAATATCTCAAGAAAAAAATTATGTAGTAAAAAATATACTTTAAACACATTATTTGGAAGCATTTATAGTTTGTATAATTCAAGTACTTTAGATCATTTGCAGAACATTAAATCACTTGCGGTATTTTAAAATAAAAGACAAAGAATGCCAGAAAATTGTCTATTTGATTCTACAGTTTAGTTTATTTTTATGTTAAAGTTTAATCAGTTGTATATGGAGTTTTGTTATAAAGTATAAAACATTCAACTATAAAAATTGCTTTATTTAATAAATTATATGACACTTAAGATCAGTGATGAAGCGAATGTTTTTGCGACCGGCCCAAAAATGAAATAAATGCTCTTTTTTACAATAAAATTAAAAAATTATTACTTTTTATGTTAAAATTGGTTTCATTTTTTTATTTGCTCCTCAATTTTTTTGGACTTTTAAAACCTTCGCGACAGGGGCTATTTCCACTTTCTACAGGCTATTTCCATTCTCCCCTCACTACGCTAATGTTTAAGAGTGTTTATTGCACATATTGCTTTATAATACATAATATCGATATATCAATGACATATCTTTAATATGGTATATTATATCATATAGAAAATGTTTTATTTACTGGAATGATAATTAATGCCAATTTATATAAAATCTTATTTAGTAGTCAAATAAAAAATGAACTACCATCACAAATCTGGATCTCAAAAAAGGAAAGAAAAATTGTTGAGGTTAAAAAATGTAAATGAAAAACAAACTCTACTTCAAAGTTATGGATTTTCAGTGTCTTTGAAAAAGAAAGATTTAGAAAATGAATATCATAATGTAAAAGCTAATTTTAACAATAACGACAACGTTGTTGAACAAGCTGCAGATTTAATTAATGTGACTGACGACTTTCCAGATCCTGATAACATAGAAAATAAAGATGACATTGGTGCCCGGCAATATTTTAGTTTCTATCAACAATATCTCTGAGAATTATAAATCAATGTATTGTTTTCCTTGTTGCCTTTTTAGCAAACTACCAACAACAAGTCGCTTACGTTTAATAACTATATCTGGGTATTGTTTTCAAAGAAAATGGAAAAAATTACATGACAAAATTCCAGAGCATCAAAACAGCAGCAACCATAAATATTGTTATATTAAATGGTGGCAATTGGAAAAAAGTATTGATTCTAATTCCACTGTCTATATTATGCTGCTGTAGACCATTAAGAATCAAGCATCACACTGGAAACAGGTTCTTCGCCGAATTTTAGATGTCATATTGTTTCTAGCTGAACGAGGTTTGGGATTTAGAGGAACAAGTGATTTAGTTAGAGTTGCAGCAAATGGCAATTTTTTGGGCATTTTAGAGCTCTTAAGCCATTATGAGACTGTCTTGAACAAAGTGATGAAGTTGCAGAAATTGAAGAGAAGACAACAAGCAAATTAACTTGCACCGGAAATACAAAATGAGTTTATATAGTGTTGTGCCAAAAAAGTTAGACATGATTCTAAGTGAACAAGAAGCAGCAAAATATTATTCAATACTTGTTGATGTAACCCCTGATTCAGCACATATGGAACAAACCGTATTTATATTGCGTTATGTTTATTTAAATGAAGAAAATAATCTCTACGAAGTTCAAGAGCAATTTCTAGAGTTTTTTGACTGCAATCAAAAAACGGGGAAAACTATTGCTGAATTATTTTGCAGTTTTATTAAAAAACACAATATACCAATGATAGACTGTCGTGGTCAAGGTTATGACAACGATAGCAAAATGAGCAGTCAGTATAAAGGAGCACAAGCAGAGATAATTAAAGAGAACCAATTTATTCTCCATGCCAATTTATTCTCCATGTGCTTGTCACAGCCTAAATCTGTGTGGTGTCCATGCCGCAGAGTGCTGTGCAGAGGTTATAAACTTATTCAGTGTTGTGCAAAAGACTTATAACTTGTTCAGCTCTAGCCCGCAAAGATGGCAAATTTTAAAAGAAAACATTAGATGCTCTTTGCATAGCATGTCAGATGCACGTTGGTCAGCCAGGATTAACAGTGTAAAACCTTTTGCAGAACATATTCCTGGTTTAAAGAGTGCTATCCAAGACTTAAAGAAGCTAAATCTTACTGCTAAGACTTGATCAGATATCAAACATATTGAGAAATGCTTGGGTTCATTTGAGTGCATTATACTCGCAAGCACTTGGTTTAAAATTCTAACAAGCATCAATTACAGAAACACAGTTCTGCAAGCCAG